GCTCTTGTGGTGTTTAGAAAAGGATTTCCAAGCAAGAGAGGAAGCTCTTTGGTCTTCTTCATCTTCATTACAACAAAATCAGTTGGAACTATGCATTCACCAATCTTTAGTGGGTAATCTTCAAGGATTCCATATAGCTTCTTTGAGGATGAATCTCCAAAGGTGATTGAGATGGGGTGATGCTTTAGAGTCTTGATCCTTAGTCTCTCCACCATGTCTAAAGACATTACATTGATGCTTGATCCAGAATCACACAAAGCATTGTCCACTTTCAAATTTCCAAGAGAGCATAAGTTGGAGAACTTTCTTGGATTACCTAGCTTGGGAATAGATTTGGGTTTCACCCTTGTTGAACCAGTGCTAGAGACTCCATCAGCTGTCCTTGCTTGAACTATTCTCTGATCTTTTCCTTCAGCAATCTCAGAATCATTACTGCATGATTCTCATATCAGAACTAGTTGCATGATAACACCGTATTTTGACTACTTTTATAGATTGTTTTGAAATATTTTTTTCTATTTTTTTACTGCTTTCAAGTGTTTTTATTATGTTTTTCTAGTATTTGTAGTTTCAAGACTCTTATCAGGAAACTTAGGGAAAAGCTTAACAAAATGGATAGAAGACCAGATTTCAGCTCAGAGTCAAACTGTCAGAAGTTCACCCCCAAATGAAGGCCTTCTCACCGTCTGATCCAGCTCAATTTTGGAAACCTTAAATATGGAACTACCAGCTTTCCAGCACACTTTACAGCTTGGCAATCCAACAGTTCAATAAAAAGTTACGCGAAGAGAAAGATATCTAGTAAACCAGCCGGCAAGCATTCCTACCTGTGGCCAACAAGCATTTCACCACGGTCCCGACCTTCCCGGCCGCGGAGATTGGTCTGTCCGACCCCGAACCCATTTTCAAGCTCAAAATGATTGCCTCATTTGGAGAAACCCTAAGTGACGCCTAGAAATGTCTTGCACACTATAAATACATGTTTTATGAACTCTAAGTCGTATGATCTTTTATGCTCTTATTGTTTAGAATACTTTTTAGGCTTTTCAATACTTTGCTTTCAGGGAGATAAAGATCTATCTCTTGAACCCTTTTTGTTTCTTCTACAATTTTGATTACTGCTCAGCTTTTCATTACAATGTTTTTGCTTTCTTTAATCATGTATGAGTAGCTTTATTGATGAGTCCGTGAATAGGAGTGGAAACCTACCTATGGGAGAGCTGTGAATATTGATGAGTCTTAAGCTTACTACATCTTTTCTCTTCCAGGGCCAGAGTGGAAACCTACTGGTCAGGGTTGAGAGAGATAGTTGGTTATGATTGCGACATGGCGTATTCATACGTTCGTGACTCGAGTTCTAAGAGTTTCAGCTAGGATCTTTTTAATTTACTCTTTAGCAATGTTTTGAATCGTTCATCCCCCAGAGAGAATTTTCCTGAAAACCCAGAGCCTCTTTTTCTATAGATTTACACCAATTTTCATTCAAGTTCTTAGTCTAGTATTTCATTCACTCAGCCGATTTTCATACAAGCAATTAGGTCTAGCCATTTTCTTGTTTTTAGTCGATTTCTTTAAGTTTAGTTATTAGGTCATTTTAATTCCCGTATTTTTCCGTTATGATTAGTTTTTACGTTTTAAAGACACCACCAAAACCCCTACAAAAGTCGCCTGGTTCTAGACTTCCTTACTTCACATTTCTTTCGAAGCTTTTGCAAGAAAGATCTTCCTTTCCTGTGGATTCGATCAGCTGTGCACTTGCGGCTATTGATTTTATTTAGGGTAAAACTTGACAACCCTCACGACAGTACACATCACTGCATCCCCCCCTTCTTTTTCAATGTCCTCATTGAGATCATAGAATAGGCTTTTAGACTGTTCTATTATGGCGTCCTTATCCTCATCAGTGACAGTTTTCTCAGTTGAGACATTTTCATGAAGAAGATTCTCAATTTCTTTCACAACATCATGATTCTCAGCATTTGAGATGATTGCATTGCAGTATTCTCTGGGATTGGCAAGTGATGTCCCTTGTATAGATCCTTGAGCTTGAGAGGTGGAGTGGCCCTTTGTTCTCTATAGTCTTTACTTTGGAAGCCAAGGTTGCAACCTGAGTTATAAGATCAGAATAAGTGCAATCCACCTTGGTGTTGATCTCTACCATATTCTTGTTGAAGTCCATGGCACTACTTGCTTGACCTTGGAGGATTTGCTGGAGCAGGTTTTGCACCTCTTGATCCTTATTCCCTGAGTTCTGTTGGAAACTTTGTTGTTGGGGAGGAACAAAACTCTGTTGGTTATTGTTTTGAGGGTAAAGTTCTGGGTGGGGTGATTCTTGTAGTAGGTATAGCCCTTTTGGTAACTTTGTTGGCCACCTACAAAATTCACCTCAGATGAGATGTCTTTCCTTTCAGCATTGTCCTGAAACACATGATTCACATCTTCAACAAAATTGACTGACTTATGGGAAGCTAGGAGAATCTTATCTAGCTTCTCATTGAGAGACCTGATGTCTTTCTTTGTATTTTCCTCTTCTACACTCACAACTCCTCTTGGATTCCTGTCAAAGTCTGATCCATAAAGCTCATCACTCTGAACAACATTCTCAGAGTAGGACTAGAGTCTATATATGTAGAAGACAATACAGTAAAGTTTTTAGGATTATTTTAATATGATTTTTTTCTTTTTTTTAGCATAACTTTTCTTTTTTTATCCATCATTGCCCGTAACTGCAAACTCTTGCGGGAAACAGTTTCTCGATTTCAACGGTATAAAACGTTACAAAGTGGGTTAAAGCTACTTTTAAGATTGTCATAATACGCCACTAATCGTTACTAACTGCAAACGTAGCTTTTATGACTAATAATGGGTGAGCCAATTAACACCTTAATATAGGGCTGTTGTTATATCTATTCTATGCCCATTGGGCTTTTAATAAAACTTTAGTCGACAAAAAACGAAAGGAGAAACTGAGAAAGTATAGTGTTTGATACTTTAGTTCATATGCATTGCCTCTTTTCAACAATAAAACGCCACGTCGTCGCATAACTAATGTGGTTGCACAAAAATGTGGTTGGCCTTAGCCGTAGAATAAAACATTATCCAGAAATCTAACATTTCCACCAATCCTTGACTTGCTTCACGATCCAAACAAACGCAAGAAAATGCAAGAAAATCTCCATCTCTGAGAACACATTTTCTCTAACAAAATGGAGACTCTTCTCTCTCCTCGTTCTCTCTCTCCTCCTCTCAATCCCAAACCATCATCCATTCACCCAACCAAACTCAATTCTTCTTCCCTATCACTCTCGAATCCCAGCTTCTCCAGCCCGAAACATCTTTCTATTCGGTTAAGCGCTAAACCGGAATCTTGGTTAACAGATGCCAAGCAAGGACTAGCTGCTCTGGCTCTATCTCTGGCTCTTACTTTCTCGCCTGTTGGCACTGCCACAGCCTCTGAGTTCAATATTCTCAACGATGGTCCACCAAAAGAAACTTACGTAGTCGACGACGCTGGTGTTCTTAGTCGAGTCACGAAATCAGATCTTAAGAAACTTTTATCTGATCTTGAATACCGAAAGAAACTTCGGCTCAATTTCATTACTGTTCGAAAGCTCACTGTGAGTTTCCGTTGCTCTATTTTTATTTTATTTTTCCTTATATAAAAGGGTTTCTATTTTTGTTTTTCTGAAAAAAAAAATCCTCCAAATGACATTATTCAAAAAAGCAAGTCAAACTAAAAAAATAAAGATTTTAACCCGCAATATAACCCGTTGCTACCATAGTCAAACCTATTAAATTATGATAAACTATATATCAATTCGAAACCCTGATAATAAGGAGTCCAAAAAGACTATTAGAATGTAGAACTCTGATGTTTATGATCATAAAAGCTTTTCAAATGAACACAGAATGGTTCTATATATTGCAGGTTAAATTTGACTGTGTAGGTTTGACTGGCATTTTTTGGAGTTGATAATAAAATTTAGAAAACTGTTCAATTGGAAGATTTTTTGGTAGAAAACGTTTTTCTTGTAAACCAATAAGTTGAACCGGAATGGGTTTGGGTTAAATGCAGAGTAAAGCAGACGCGTTTGAGTATGCAGACCAGGTTTTGGAGAAATGGTACCCTTCGATTGAAGAAGGTAACAATAAGGGTATTGTTGTTTTGATCACAAGTCAGAAGGAAGGAGCGATTACTGGTGGTCCAGCTTTTATCGAAGCTGTTGGTGAAAAGATTCTTGATGCTACCGTTTCTGAAAATCTTCCGGGTATGGATCTCTCGGTCTGGAAGAGTATATAGCATATTGTTACAGTTTTGATGCAGCATCCGGATGCAGAAAATAACAAATTTTAATCTAGATTCGGATTTTTCGGTTTATATATAATAGTAACCAAATAAGAACTTCCTATAATGTTGATGATTTGAAATGGTTTCGGTTTTCATTTTGACTCGAATTTTGATAAAATGTATCTATTATTTTCAAAGTTTCGGATCGGCTTTTTTTCCTATATTAAAAGTTGTAAAATTTCTATCAATTTATAATGTCGGAACATTGAAAATTTATAGAGATAGCGAGATAGTAGGTTTTTAGTTATAGTTCAGATTTTTAGTCACAAATTGGAAACATTGTGGTCCTACTTAACCGATTATTTGTGAATTGTACCATCAGTAGTTCACACACATTAAACATAAGATATTTTGTATTTCTATAACTCTATATATTAAATTTTTCTTTTGTATCCAATCTTTCTTTCAATCAGTATTGACTAACTTGGAAACAAGAAAACATACTAGTTTTGAATGAAAGATTGAAAACATCTATTATTTTGATGAAACAAATTTGATTTTTCAAAACATTCAACCCCAAGAGGGAGTAGCTACCAAAATTAATTTTTGCTCTGATGTTAGAAATCAACTATGTTCATAGGTATTGGAAATCATTAGTGTTTGAATGTGTAATGGTGCAGTATTAGCGACAGACGAAAAATACAACGAGGCGATATACAGCAGCGCAAAACGTTTGGTTGCAGCAATAGACGGTCTCCCAGATCCCGGTGGCCCGGAAGTGAAGGATAACAAGAGAGAATCAAATTTTAAAACGAAAGAAGAAACCGAAGAGAAGAGGGGACAGTTCAGTCTTGTCGTTGGAGGTTTGCTTGTAATTGCCTTTGTTGTTCCCATGGCACAGTACTATGCTTATGTATCAAAGAAGTAGTGTAATTGGTTCACTCTCGTATATACCAAACCGGTCAGGTCAGAACTTTACTACCAACCCCGTTTTACCTTTGTGGTTTATTTGGTTATGGTTTATTGGTAAATCAGTTTATTTGAGCAATATAAGTATCTAATGACAAGAACCCAACGAATGAATTAAACCAACCAATAGTAACAGCATTTTATTAAAATTTTAAGCTTAGAATAAATGGCATCTGATCTGAAAACGGTGGATCGGAATACTTCCCGGTTAAAATTTGATTTGAAACAAAATGGTTTGCAGCTTCGGTATAGTGAATTCCATCCCAGTTTATGTACTCGGAACTATCATTGCAAGCTTTGGCCGTTACTGGTATCCCATCTAAGACTTTAGTTTGGCCACACGAAATGCGGCTATCGTAATTTAGCGGTGCCCCTCCGACTCCACAACACACCATTATCGGATTTTCGAAACCTGAAACAATCGAAATTAGTTGCTAAATTGGAATAACCAACATATCATAAGACGTTTATGATCAATAAGTTGTTTTGAAATTAGGATTAAATAGCAAAAAACTCTTACCGAATCGCGAATAATTAGCAATGAGATTGGATTTGATAGAGAAGATATCAAAATAAGTAACATCTGAATCAGGGAATTGTGCTTGAAATTTGTTGGAGAGGGCATGGAGTTGAAGATTGAAAAGTTTGGCTGCTTGGTTATGGGAACTAACACATCCAAACTCATCAAGCTTTGTTGAATCTGTCCCAAATTTAGCAATATTTTGAGCCAAACATCCTAAAGGCCCTGTGTTGTGTATCCAGAAGTTTCTTCCTCCTTCTTCATACAACCTCTGTCAAAATAATATGAATCTTATTTAATTCTTTTTTAAATATAGTATCTACAAAAATGATGCGTGAAATCTACTTATATGTATTTAGAATTTTGCCATAATGTTATTATTGCAAATAGGTTAGTGCAAATTTTGCAAAAGTTAAATATTCTATATTTTACGCAATTTTCATTTCTAAGTATTTAGATAAAAATCATTTTCCGATTTAAGACAAATTTATAATAACTTGTTTAGTAAAAAAGTAATAAACTGTGATTTACCTTGAGTCCATTTTCAAAAGTTTCAAGAATGGAAGGAATAGAGGCAAGAACTTGGTCAAGAGTCTTGGAGTAAAAGGCACCAGCGATATCATTTTGGCCTATATCAATCATGTATAGCCCTTTTGAGTAATAATCAAGTGGGGGTAAGTACTTTTCATATTTCCTTCCTGCAAAATTCATCAAACAAATATTTGCTTCATTTATACATCACATAATATATACACATCACATCTCACCAACCAACAAATTTAAAAATTAGCCCCACCTGTTTTAGCAAGTAGTTCAAGGGCCCTAGATTTGAACCGGACGAATTGAGAAATTTGAAGATCAAAGGAGAAAGGAGAAACCGAGGTTGGGTTAGCGGGAAGAATGGTGGATCCTGCTGCTGCAAAGTTACATCCTCTTTTGAAATTTGGTAATCCTAATGAATCCAAATACGGATTCAAAAATGGCATGTCCATTGCATCCACTGTACAACACAAACACACATGTCAAAACCATTGCTATGTAGTGATAACCAAATCGAAGAAAGTCATTTCAATAAAGAAAAATATCAGTTTTGTTCGGATTTAGTAGTGGTTTATACATAGAAAATCTACAATGAGACGGCCGTCACAATATCTTCCTGAGGGAAGCCTGAAGTAAGTCTGGCCATACGGAGGATTAACACTTTCAATCCCAGCGGAGATGAGATTGCCTGTGTCGGAATTCGAGTCCCCAAAGTTGATGATTGCCGGATATCTTAGGATAATGGAGAGAGATGAGGGCAAGAAGGAGATGAAGATGAAGATAAAGATAATAATTGAGAGATAGTTTACAATGGGAGCCATAGGGTTGGAAATAAGCAATAGAGGCATATGTTCTGAAGAGAACGATACAAATGGTTTATTTATTCGCTAAAATAATTAATTTTCCATATATTATTATAAATATATCAAATTCAAAAAGCAAAATATGAAGTGTCGACAACAACCATGACAAACTTTTTAGAGCATAATTAATTTAACAATGGTTTAATACGTATGCAACCTCTTTGGTATAGTTCGATCGTAGTTTTTGTTTCACTGTAACATTTACCGAAAGAGTTAGTTATGGCAATGTACCCAAAAAAAAAAAAACAGTTAGTTATGGTTTCATTAGTTATGGCCAACATATGAAATATCGTTAGATTCAAAATAAATAATATGAAATATCGACCATAATCACACGTTCATTATATCGAATTACACAGTAATTCGACATTTCAAGAAACGGCTACAATTGGATCGTTTAACTTGTATAGAATTAAATTTCTAAATCATAATTTGTAAGATGTTAGGTTCTTAGAGTAATACTTTGATGTAAGGTAAAAAATATTAATTCAAATTAATGCGAGGATGGTAAGTCAAGGAAACTATATAACACTTTGGTGGTTGATTAATATTTAATAGATGATGTGTACATCTTTGATCAGTCTATGTAAATGGGTCTACTATATTAATTTCGTTTACATTTAGAGCCTTGACTCCTATTTTAAAATAATATATACTGCTAATTAAATATCAGTGTAATGTATAAATGTTTTATATATTGGCCATGATGAAACCATAATTAGCTGTTTCAATTCGCACCACCTTTGGATTTTTTATTTTATTTTATTTAAAGTAGAATTAAAATGTTATGGTGAAACAAAAATCTTCCGATGGAACAGAACTATACGAATCAGTTTGCTTTCTTTTGTCAAATCAAAAATATTTTAGAGTATATTAAAAAGCTAAATATTAAGTTTCTAGAACAACCATGACAAACTATTAGAATCTATATAATCAAATAGTGGTTTCAGGTTTGTAGTATTCAAGCCTTATTTTCATATTTAGAAATCATTAAGTTCTTTTGTAATGAGAATTTAAGAAACAAAATTAAAACTAATGTAACGGAGGTTAGATTCAGGAAATGTATAATATAAGGTTGCTTCGAGATTACGTCAAAGTTGCTTCGTGAGGAAGGTGCATGGAGATGAAATGTTTGGTACTGAATGAAGAAAACAGGACATGTTCGCGTTTAGTGTTATTGCGTTATCATTTTGCTAATGAGTGTTTGATATATATATATATTTTTTTTTCTTCATGTGTTCGTGTTGCGGTTTGCAATCTCTACGATGCATATTATGTAAATATAAACGCATAACACAAAATACAAAATAGAAAGAGAATTTAAAATTTGTGATTCCTATTTGTGTTTACGATTTGAAAATGTTGTTTTATTAAGAATAGTGAAGTGTTTCAAGTTAAACGTAAACACAACAAAAGTAGAAACATGTTATTTTGAAATAATCGAGGAGTTATATATTTTACCTAGCATTCAATTTTTTAGTTAAGCAAACTAAATTTCTGGTACAACATGGGTAAGCTTAATATGTAAACTCAACATGTATTATAAATAAAGTATTTTAAATAAATCGTAGATGAAATAAAAGTAAATCTTCCATGTTAGATAGTAAAGTTCTCTGTCTAAATCGACAAAATCATGGTGACAAAAACATAATTAAACGATACCTTTTTCCTAGTTTGACAAATAATAATATCTTATAAAACAGCATGTTTTTTATCTTTTTTTGTTAACGGGGTATCCCGGACTGAAAACCAAACTAATTCCATGCGGTACATAGAAATTCAGGTTTTCTTGTCACTAAAGTGCTTAAGGTTGATCACGGATGGTTGAAATTGCAGTAGGAGAATTCGAACTTTACCGAACATTCAGAGTGAACTCTCAACTACGACCTATTGAACCACTCCACTTGGTTAAAATAAAATAGCATATTATTTTAATGTTAATGGATAAAATAGTATGATATTTGTTAATTAATCCTAACCGAGAAATCTATATATTTGTTTTAAAAATCATGATCACGTAAAAAAAAAAAAATCATGATCACGTTCAGTAAACCAACTTATTTAGTATTTTTAGCATCTATCGTTATTACAAATATAAAAAAAAAATTGGGCTATTTAGTTCATATTCTAATAAAATAAATACTGAACAATAAATAGTGGGAGAAGAGAAAATATCTATTATATGAAAGAAGTGTTTTTAAAGATTATCTTAAAAGGAGAATATAAATTGAAGAATAACCTTACTTAGAAAATCTATGGCAAGACGTCCGTCGCAGAATCTTTGGGAAGAAGTTTTGAAGTAGTTTTGTCCATTAGGAAGATCAAGACGAATGCCAAGGCCAGCAACGAGATCACCCGTGTCGGAATTAGAATCTCCGAAATTAAAAGCAGACAAATAGTTGAAATCAATGGAGTTTGATTTCTGTATATACATGGTAACAAATACGAAGACGACATAGAAGATTCTCATCTTAGAATATATAAGATAGCTGTCTATTTCTTGTTTGAAATTGGCTTTTGTGATTTATAGTTATTATTTCTCATGATGCTTTAAATTGTAGAAATAGGAAAACACCATACAAGCAAGATTGTTGCGAATATCGCTTGCAAGTTTTACTCTCTCTCTTTCTTTGCAAGTCTTACTCTCTCTCTTTCTCTCTCTAAGAATACATAAACTCATTTAATCCTAAATTCTTTTTGTTGGGTTGGTTTCCACCCTCAACAAGTTTACCCACTTATAAAAAGGCTAAGTGTTTGAGATATTATGTCTAGTTATGTCTGATCTGAACTGGGCTTCCTTTTTGATGGGCCGAATCCTGTTGAGGTGCAAGTGGACCGAACTGGAAGAAAGAGCAAGTGGGCCGAGCCATGTTAAGGTGTGAGTTGGGCCGAGCCAGGGTTAAGAGCAAGTGGGCCGAGCTGAAAAGAAAATGAAGGGTGAGCTGCATCGCCAGACGTGTGGGCCGAGCTGATTGATGTTTGATGGCTAACAGGCTTAGCCGCGGAGGATGAAACCCGTCCGAAAACCCTAGGTGAAATGTTAAGGCGGCGGCCGCGCGAGGCGATAAAGAAATATTCCAAAAATCTCTCCCGAGATTCTCGGCTAGGCGGCTCATAGACTCTGTATAAATAGTCGTTGTAAACAATTCATTATGTAACTTTTCACAACTCGAGAGCAATAAGACTTAAACACTTTTCCATCAAAAACTCTTATTTTGATCTTACTGTTCTTGCAATAAACCCTAGAGATTTCGGATGCCTTAAGTTTTCCTTAACAAATTTTTTGTTGTGCAAGTTTTGGCTCACACAATTTGGCGCCATCTGTGGGGATCTCGAAATTTTCTTACTCAATATCGTCAAGAGCTTGAGATCCGAAGAACATAACAACCGACGCACCCGGAGACGACAACAACAACGACCACAACACGGAGAAAGATGCTCTCTAGCGAACGCGATGACAACCACTGATACTCACAACGAGATGAGGAGCATGCTGTCCACCCTGATGAAGAAGATTGAAGAGCTGGACAAGAGAAACGAGGCGATCACAGAGAGACTCGACGCAATAACGGCTGAAAGATAGCATCCGACTTGGAGATCCAAGATCTCCGATCCGACAGATGGAGTCAAGAGACGCTTTGACAGGCATGCGGTAGCGGCACAAGAAATCCCATGGCTTCACCAATGTTTTGTCCCCTCAACGAACAAACTCCAGCGGCAACCCGAGTCAACATGACCGTGCCGCTCCCACTTTCGTCGGAACTCAAGACGGCGAGGTGATGAGGAGGAAAATGACATGATCGACGTGGACGCCCAGCATAGTGACAGTACCAGACACTTGCAGCAAAACGGCTCGGCTCGGCAGATAAGTTAAGAAGAGTTCGCCTCGGCGCTTAATGGCATCCAAACTGATGGAGTCACCAACCCGACTCGCGATAACGATCCAATTGAAAAGGAAGAGAACCTTCAATGGGTCGAGCAGGCGGAGTACAAAGACGAGCCGAGGAGAGAAGACCAGGAGTGACCTCGCCCACCTAGGAGAATGACCCGCGCACTGACCCAATAGGAGGAAGAGCTCTGAGCCTCCATGGCTCAGACAGTTGCAGAAATTCACGTCGTGAAATCCCAGGTTCATAACGCAATAAGCGCTACACCAGAGATCGATCAGATTCTTGAAGAAATCCAGAGGACTCCGTTTACGACGAGGATCACAGAGGCTAGGATCCCCGAGCCCAGGAAAGTCAGGATCTATTTCTATGAAGGAACCACCGACCCGAAAGCTCATATCACTGCGTTCCGCATAGCAATGGGACGAGCCTTCACGAGGAACTCTGCCAACCTAACCAAGCAAGAAAAAGACGCCGGTTATTGTCTGCTGTTCGTAGAGCATCTCAAAGGGGCCGCACTGGAATAGTTCTCAAGGCATGAACGTAATTCGATCAACAGCTTCCAGCAGCTCTCAACCTTGTTCTTGAAGCAGTACTCGATGTTTATGGACCGAGGCACCTCCGACGCCGATCTATGGACGTTATCTTAAGGACCTAATAAACCGCTTTGGGATTACATGGCAAGTTTCAAAGCTGTTGTTTCCAAAGTATAAGGAATAAGTGACAAAGCCGCCCTTGAAGCCCTAAAGCAATCCCTGTGGTACAAATCTGACTTTCGACGGGAGATGGCGCTGAGCACGTCGCAAACAATCCAGGACGCTCTGTATCGATCATCAGACTTTATCGTGAATGGGGAACAAATGAAGAATTTAGATGAGAAATACAAAGCGACAAAAGCAGCAATCCGGAGCTCAATTTTAACTCCGGATCTGAAGAAAAACTATCACTAAGGATACACCACGACCAACGTGAACTACGGGACGGCTTGATCCTTGCAAAAGGTACGTAGGTAGCCCATCCTCGGACGGGTTCAGCTGTCCCCCCTCCTAAAAGGGGGGGGGGAGTGAGTACGTATAC